AATGGAGAAGCGCTGGCAAAACTTTCATACCTCAAAAATAATTATCTTCAGGGTACTTTTTATAAAGTTCTAAGCACGTTTTAGTAAGCTAAAGGATACAAATACTGTGTTTACTACTTCATCATATGGCCTATTGGCATACTGTAGATACGCTTGTGCCTATTCCCTTCCTCTTCCCTCCAAGCTCATTCCTGTGCATTCTCCGATAGAGATCCACCTCACAGAGGAATAGAGTTCGTAACATTAGTTTTAATGCAATCAAGCAAGCTACCGTAAATTACGAAAAGTGTGTTTTGTGATCTTGGGTTTTGAGTAAGTTAGTCAAAAATATTGACATCAGCAAGAGAAAACAGTCAGCGACGCTTCTTTAATAAGAAGCAGTACTAAATAAGTACAAAATTGAAAATTTGTCTTAAACTTGAGTTTTATTGACATTTAGTGAAGCTAACCTTTCTCTCCTACACCAAAATGATTATGTGGGACGTGGAAAGCTAATATCTACGTTTAGGGAGTATGCCTTGGAGTTTTTCTTGGAAAATGCAATTGTCACTCATGTATCGCAAATGTGGAGTGTGCAGATGATTCGGATTGCGGTGGACTGCGAAATGCGTGTCAAGAAGGAATTTGTAGATGTGCTAAGGTGAAACATAGCAATTTTCAATTGCGGCTGTGGCTCAAAAAAGTACGGAGTTTTTTTGCGTTTTCATTTGGAAATCAGTGCGGTTGAGTCTGGAAATACAGAGTTACCAAAGTTCATACTTAAATAATTTTTCTCGTAGTCCCAAAGTAATTCCAAAAATTTGTAAGAAATCTTCAAGAAGGGTCAAAGCCTAAAAATATTTATTCTACTACTTTTCTACTCATTATATACGCAGTACAAAATTGCAAATTATCTTCATAACTGTAATGACCATTTATATTAAATAGTTGTAAAATGTTTCTTTTCACTTTTCAGGCTCTCGCCATTCACGGCTTTACCTACTACATCGATGCTTTGACGAAATTCTGCTCACAGCGGACGTGTACAGAAACAAGTGATTCTTGCTTTGGGCTGCCTTGCAGCCGCGGCATTTGCTCATGTAAATAATTTATAATCTTCCCTAATAAAACTCTGTATCTATAGTAGAAATCAAAGAATATGTAAAATCGTCTAAGATTTGCAGAGATTTCTTCAGGAAAAAACAACTACAATATTGTAGGTTTCTTTTGGATCAATTTATTAGCTATAAGTATCATTACAATCATGGATCAGCGATGAACATCACAGATTATGAACCATAGTCTTTCAAGATCTGCTGAACAACGTGCAGAGCCGCCTCCGGTGTGTCATAGGCTACCTGAAATTATGTATCTGTTCAGAGTTAAATATATGCCCCACAATGTTCAACTGACCATATGTCCTCCTCTGAGAATCAGATAGAAGGATAAGTTATTGTATCTCTTCTTAAAACCTGCGAGAGGATAAGACTTAGTGGCAAATTTAACTTTCGCTGCAGACTTGAACGATGCCATTCCAGGCCAAGTTAGTCGATTCATCCACATTTCGGTTCCTGAAAAGAATAACCATCACCTAAAGATAATTTCAAAAAAGGAATCTTCTAAAGGATTTTCTATTTCTTTGTTGTTGGTGTCAAATTATCTCTGCTTTTAGTGTTTTTACTGTGTTGCACAAAAATGTGCAAATATTTCGGTACTATGGTAGTAGACAATACCGCTCATAACTTTTACAAAAAAAACAGAGCTTCGTACGGATTTGCTCGAAATGGTTAATTCGTCACAAAGCGTCGTTTTGTCATAG